AGCGGCCTAGCTGCTGCTTCTGCTGTCCCAGACAGCTTCAAATCTGCTGCGCTGGGCAGCTTTGGAACGCTGGGCAGCAGCATTTTTCCATCGGGGGGCGCTGAAAATCAGTCCAAGGTTTGTCAGGGAGAGCTAGGCAGTGGCCTGGGAGCACGGGCTGATCCGATTCTCATTCGAGGTGCTGATTTGGGCGTCTTAGGTGCAGATTTTTACGCCGAAAATTCTGCTTTGCGCAATTTTGAAGGGCCAGACAGCCTTCAAGCTACTGGGCAACTTTGTTTTGACGAGCAACAGCAGTCAGGCACACTTCTAGGCATTGGGCTAGACATTGCAAGTAGTAAGGAACCTTTGGGTGCTGCTTTTGATGATCAAGCCCTTCTCCAGGTGCTGGGCGCCTTGGGTGAGCCTAGGGCTGCCTCGGGAGAACCTACTTGTGATGACAAAAATAATGTTATTCCAAACATTAAAATATCTCACATAATTACCTGGAGAGAGAGAGAAGTAGGCTGCTTGCGCGAGAGCAAAGACAGAGTTGGCGAACTGCTCGTGAGGGAGCTACACTTTTTGAGACTTAGCTTTTGGCGACCCATGAGGGAGTCTTTAAGCTTGAGGTATAAGCTTCCTGTTTGAGAACAGTGCAGAGGCCAAGTTTTTTTTTTTTTTTTTGCCGATCCATGAGAGAACCGCTAAACTGGAGATAGGCTGCCTGTTTGAAAACAGTGCAGAGGCCAAGTTTTTTGGCGATCCGTGAGAGAACCGCTAAACTGGAGATAGGCTGCCTGTTTGAGAACAGTGCAGAGGCCAAGTTTTTTGGCGATCCGTGAGAGAACCGCTAAACTGGAGATAGGCTGCCTGTTTGAGAACAGTGCAGAGGCCAAGTTTTTTGGCGATCCGTGAGAGAACCGCTAAACTGGAGATAGGCTGCCTGTTTGAGAACAGTGCAGAGGCCAAGTTTTTTGGCGATCCGTGAGAGAACCGCTAAACTGGAGATAGGCTGCCTGTTTGAGAACAGTGCAGAGGCCAAGTTTTTTGGCGATCCGTGAGAGAACCGCTAAACTGGAGATAGGCTGCCTGTTTGAGAACAGTGCAGAGGCCAAGTTTTTTGGCGACCCGTGAGAGAGCCGCTAAACTGGAGATAGGCTGCCTGTTTGAGAACAGTACAGAGGCTAAGTTTTTTTTTTTTTTTTTTTTTTTTTTTTGGCGACCCTTGAGAGAGCCGTTAAGCTGGAGATAGGCTGCCTGTTTGAGAACAGTGCAGAGGCAGGTCAAGTTTCTGGTGATCTATGAGATGATCCACCTTGCCTAAACTTGTTGATTTCCACAGCATTCATATATCTTTGAGCTTTTATGAATAGTTCTGGCATGGTCTTCGGTGGGCGCTTCAGAACTGAGAAAAGGAAACTTGATGAACGGAGGCCACCCAAGAAGGCGGTCATCGTCACCTTGTCGTCGGATTCATCAACTTGGAGTACCTCCTCGTTAAAACGAGTGAGGTAACTCCTCAGGCTCTCCTTGCGGTCCTGCTTTATACTAAGCAGGTGCGTAACTGGCTTCTGGTGGCGACGCCCTCCTATGAAGTGTGAGACGAATGATATGCTAAGCTCGGCGAAAGAGGCAATAGAGGTGGGGGAGAGCTTAGCAAACCACTGTCGGGCAGACCCCTTTAATGTGGTTGGGAATGCCCTGCACATGATTTCGTCTGGTACGTTGTGCAATTGCATCAAGGTCTTGTAAGTGTCGAGGTGGTCCAGTGGATCCTTTGTTCCATCAAAGGTCTCCACAGATGGCATCTTGAACTTCTGAGGGAGGGGGTATTTCGCTACATCAGATTTGAAAGGGGTATCAGTACGCCTTACCAGGTGGTCAACAGTCTCGGGTCCCTGGGCCTTCATGGCGTTGAAGACATCACCGAGTCGATTTTGTACCTCCTTTATTTTCTCGTCCCAATGATTGGGGGCTCCTCTGGAATGATCATAGAAGTGGCTTCCATGCCCCATGCTTTGGTTTTCACCCTCATCCTCCTGGAGATAAGGGTCCTCTTCCTGGAAAGCAAGGGGAGGGGGAGGTGCAGCTCCCTCATGTTGGGCTTCCTGAAGTGGGGTGCCCAATGGGGCACCCGGGCGTGGAGCAACAGGGCGTGGTGCTCCTTGATGCCCAGGATGTGGAGCTCCTTGTGGTGCTCTATGTTGTGCACCTCTGTGGGGCCCTCCATGTTGTGCACCTCCATGTGGTGCTCCACGTTGGGGTCCTCCATGTTGTGCACCTCCATGTGGTGCTCCTCCTTGGGGTCCTCCATGTTGTACACCTCCGTGTGGTGCTCCTCCTTGGCCAGCAAGTATGAGTTGCAGTAACTGTTGGTTTTGAGCAACCAGTTGCTGCATGGTCTCCAATATTTGATGGGGATTCGGGGCCAAAGTATCCGGAACAGGGTTGATAGGCGGGGAGCAACCTCTTCCTCTCGTGGAGGATTGTCTTCGTGTTGGTTCATGGATCGAGTAGTGATCGCCATTAGTTAATGGCCGTAATGTTCAGGAGTGAGAATTTTGTCGATTCCCACAGACGGCGCCAAACTGATGATGCACAAAAATGGTTTTGCACACCACCTGTCAAGTATGGATAATAAATGCAATGAAATCAATGAGAAAATTAGAGAAGACACAATTTATAGTGGTTCGGTCAATTCGACCTACGTCCACTCTTCAATGGCTTCAGTCGCCGGGTATTTTATTGATTCAAAGGTATGGAGAACGGAGATGCAAGCTTTGAGAGGGGGAATGGAGAATCAGAGAAAAACAATAATCTCCGGTAGACGGTTCGTCTTCTGAAAGTCTCTGATGGAGCATGTGTCCCCTTCTCTCTCAGATTAGAGCCATTTTATAGTAGATAAGAGATCATTCTTGTGGAGATCATAACATATCCTCAAGGCTTCTTTATCGCAGCTTAGAGATTATCTTCGGTGGAGATCACGACTTATCCTCAACGGAAGGAAGAGTTTGGGGAACTCTTGAAGGAAACGTGGTCAAAGATTGGACCGTTGATAAGCTTCTCGTGCTCTCTTCTTGGTGACGTGCTAAGCAAGAAGTCCAACCGGCCTTGGCCTATTGGTGACGTGCTAAGCAAGAAGTCCAACCGGCCTTGGGCTCCCTAAGGCGGTGTAGATAAACTTCCCGTGCTCTCCTCTTGGTGACGTGCTAAGCAAGAAGTCCAACCGTACTCTCCTCTTGGTGACGTGCTAAGCAAGAAGTCTAGCCGGCCTTGGTCTGTCTTGGACTTGGTGGGTTCACGATGAGGTTGGGCTCCTCAACCGGGGTTGGGCTTTAATACATAAATTGGACTATTTGGGCTTAACCCATCAAAGAGTGAAGGACCACAGTTAATTCCCCTTTTGTTTTCTGTGATTTTCTTTCTAAACTAGGATAAATGGACCACATCTTCTATACACTCTCTTTCTATATCTCTTTGTACAAGCATGTTGATGGCTTGATTTTGGACATAATTCTATGTTCAGTTTCAATTGGTTCTTTTAGGTCATTTATATGAATAATAGTTGTTTTCTGTGAAGGCACAAAATAATAAAAAAATTATCAACAATAAACATATTTGTATTTACACCTAAAATCAAATCACAAATATAAAGAAGAAATAAAGAAATTTAAGTATCGATTGTAATAAAGGTGAGCGGTGTTAGTGTGGTGGGCAGCAATGGTGATGGTGAAAAACGGTGATTGTTGTGGTGGGTGGCAAACAACCATAGTAGTGGCAGCTGTGAATGACAACGGTAATGGTGGTGGTGAATTTTTGGGTGACGATGATGGTAGTGGCAGTCGTGAGTGACTGCGGTGGTGGTGGTAGAGGTAGGAGATGGTGGACTACGGTGATGGTGGTTAGCAACAGTGGTGGAGGGCGGTGACGATGGTGGTGGGCAACGATGGGTGTTTCTAGGCGACAGTGTGATGAGTGGTGACGAATGGCGGCGATGGTAAGTGTGATGAGGGTAGATGACAGTTGGTGGTTGCAATGGTAGGTGAAGACGGGTGGTGGTAGTAGGTGTGGTGGGGGTGGGTGCCAGTGACTGGTGGCGATGGTGGGGGACGATAGGTAGTAATGGGATGATAGTGGTAATGATAATAAATATAAAATTAAGATGATGATGATGGTGGTACTGGACGACGATGGTACTAATCAGTTGTGGGTAGCGATGGTGGTGGTGGTGGTGACAATAGGGCAGAGAGGGTGGGGTGGGGGTGCGAGTAGGGCAGTGGTGGTAATTATGATGGTCGTGGAGGTGGGGGTAGTGGTAGTGGTGGTGGGAGTGGTAGTGGTCGTGATGGTGGTGGGGTAGTGGTGGTGGTGGGGGGTGGTGACGGTGGCAATGGTGGTAGTAGTGGTGATGGTGAAGGAGCGGTGGAGCTGATGGTTGTAGAAATAATGGTGGAGTAGTTTCAAATACTATTTTTTTAAGGTATTTAGGAGAAATAACTCCTAAAAATATATTTAAAAAGTTACTTCAAACACACCCTTAGCGATCTATTTTTCTTATTAAATTTGAAATTTTAATATTAATCATCAGATTAATTTTAAAGTAAAATTTTAAAAAATCTCAATCGCAAATAATAAATGTCAATTTATTTATTTTTTTAAATTTAAATTGTATTATACTTTATTATATAAATATTTTAAAGTAATACTTGTTACACTTTATCTATATAATGAAATCTATTTTGTCTTTGTAATTGATGGTGTATCCCATCTATTGGGTTGGTATTCGAATAACGATGATTAGTCTTTTTTTTATTTAAAAAAAAAAAAACTTGAGAAACTTAACATGCTATTGGTTAGACTTCATAATACCACAATGTAGCATTACTCTTTTCATAAATAATATTTTACACCGAAGAATATTATAATGATTTAGCTTGCAAAAAATTTCAAATCTATATCATAAAAGTCCAAAATAAAAACATATAATATATACCAACACAGTTTGTGCCTCAATTAGTCACTTAAAATGTCAAATACAGTGCCCCCCTCATATATTCATCATGGGAACTCTCTCTCTCTCTCTCTCTCGGGGAGACCTATGATTCATTCAAGAGAAGAATCAACGTTGTGAACAGCCCTAGAGAAAACTAGAAATTGGTCAGGATGTTTCTTCGCCGCTTCTTCTTTCTCAGCCCCAGAATTGTCACCACCTTCCCCAGTTTCAGTGATGATAGCTTCCCGAAGCACTTCCCTAGCCTTAGTCATCGGATCAACCAACGACGTCGTTTTTCCATCAGAATCAGCAGCTTTCCTCTCCTGTTGCTGCTGCTCTCTTCCCTCCTTGTTCGCTTCCATGGCTTCTACATTTTCTTTTCTCTCATTCTATCTCTACATATGATATCTGCACTCGTTGTCGTCGATGTGTAGGATGTACACGCGTCTTGCAATACCACTGACTACAGAACTCGTGTCAAGCGCATGGAGTAGATGTTTACACGTAGCTATGAGTTTTTGTCGTTTAGCTATTTATTCAATCTTATTATATTTTTGAACATAAACATATGATTCTCAACGATATAATCCTACAAATTCAAACACATTATGTCCCGAGTTTTAGCTAGGTTGAATTCGAGTACAATTTTAAGCTTATATTAAAGTTTGAATCAAGTTCTAGCTCAGTCTGATTGTGACTAAAGACTATTCAAATGAGATCTGAATCTACAGTCCAATTAAGAAGTGTTCGGATCAGTCACCCCTACTTGATCAAAAATAATGTCGTTTATGCTTTTAAAGATAAGAGCTCTGTCAAAACTTGAGCAAAGAACAGATGCCTGACTGCCTCGAAAAAAGTATAGTATCAATAACTAACAAAACATTGAACAAAGCCAAGTTGGATAGGAGCCTAGTTCATCCTCCTGATGAGCTCATTAATGTAATCTTCACGGTTTCCGGCATCGCCTCCTTCAACATAGTGATTCCTCTTCTTTTTCAGACCACCCAGTGGTGCCTTCAGTTGGAATGGCCAAAGGAAGTTGTTTGCCTCCTTAAAGTGGGGTCCGACAGTCATAATCTCATGTACCAGATCTTCCACGCAAATGATTCCAAATTGACCCAGAGCCTGTATTGATAAGAGTAAATTGTTGAGGAAACATAGTCAGATGAAAAACTGACACCACTAACACCGACGATGAACTCAATTTTGCTCGCAACATACCATTTCAACAATAGAGTTGTCAGTCAATGCCGTTCTCTGCTTGTTTAGTTTCCCATAACCCCTCTTGTAAATCAATTCTCGGACACTTTTCAGGTTTGGATACCTGGAAAGATTAAATATTGTATGTAAGCTTTGATTATGATGAACCCTCAAATGTCTCAAAATTATGAATCACAGGAAAAAAAATGCATACCCAAATGTCACATAAGGCTCAACCCTATGCAGCATGTTCATTGTTGCCTTGTTTACTTTCAAAAACACACCATTAAAGATCTGCAAACCAAAAATAAATGTAAAGGCTCAACAATCGGAAGGTTTGAATATAGAAACACCATAAAGACAAAGATTGGGTACCTAGCAACAAAGACAAATCAGAATCTCATACAAGTTCACAGTGAAAGGTGCAATCACACTGTATAATCTTAAAGGGAAAGCAGCACAGAAGAAGCATGGTAAACTTAGAAAACCCCACCAGGAACAAGCAAAAATCAAACACCCCCCAAAGCAAGGCATCTACGGAACAACCAGAATACAGCTCCAATCCAATGTAGATCATTTGTCAATTCAGCTTTAGATAAACTTGACTAAAACACCAATAAGTAACTATCAAGTAGGAAATAATCTTTCACCAAGTCTACCATCCCTTCTCTTGAGAAAGGAAAACTGGGATGAAAGAAAAAGAATATAATTGCAATAGAAAAAAGAGATCTTTTTAATTCTCTTTCCTTCACACATATTTATGCCTACTATGTGCTATTAGCAAGCAAGCTCTAACAATTCTGCTTTTTGTGAGAAACTACACTCTAGGGAAAAGAAACATCGACCTCCCCCCAGTGGTCTCCGCGTTCTTAGCCAAAAGCACAGGTAACTAGACATTGTGTAGCTAGATTATTCCTGGATATATCTCAAGTATCAAAGGCTTCTCTGAAGTACAACATAATTGGCAGGGATACAGCGAAAAAATACTCCACCAGTAACCAGGAAAAATCTATTACATCCATAAATAATAAAAATACATTTACTGAACAACCTGACGCACCTCTACCCTAGAAAAACCATTTATCAACAAATATTCTTCATAATATCCCCAATGGGACCCTCACCATTGCCTCTTTCTTTTTCAAAAGGCTAAACAATTTGTAAGTTTCAAGAATCACATAAATCCAGTGCATGTGAGTAAATAGAGTGGTGTCTCACCAAAAGGGGCCACCAACTAAAATATGTGTGTGAAGGTGTGAGCATAGACAGAGAGATTCTAACACTAACCCAATTTTATAAAAGATAACCAATTTGTTAGTTCCAATAAGAAAGGAGTAACGTTGAAGCAACTAAATTCACAAATATAGCTCAATATTGTATGGACAATATTTTCAGCAATGTTCTCAATTTTATAACAGGTACAAGTACATATTTTTTGGTAGCTGCTTCAGCCGAATAACAAACGCAGGCCTCATCCATGAAATTGTTTACACCAAACCATTTTTGAACACCAGCTTTCTGAATAAACATATCTGACACCAAACTTTTTGTCCAAAATCAAAATTTTTCATCAGCAACAGAATAGTGCGGTAAAGAACAGAACAATGTGGACCTCATAGAGTAAGAGTGCATGAAAAAGTATCATGCTAAGGTTGGCATGTCATAGTGAGTACATGCATTGTGCCCGACAAGGACAACATTAATAGATACAACTAGGGCTGTTAATCAAACTGAGCTACTCGAGCTTGGCTTGAATTCAGCTCATTTAGACTCAGTTTGTTTTCTAAACGAGTCTAAACTTGAACAAATTTTTAGGCTCGTTTAGAAAACAAGCCCTACAAGTTCGGCTCAAACTCAACAAGCTCGGCTCGTTTATGTGCAAATACTCGGGCTCGACTTAGGTTCGGCTCGTTCAGGCTCAATTTGTTTCCTAAACGAGCCGAGTTTGAACAATTTTTAAAGCTCGATTAAGAAACAAGCTTTTCAAGCTCAGCTCGAACTCGACTCGGGCTCGTTCGACTAACAGCCCTAGATACAACAATGTAGAATGTGTATCCCATTCTTTAGAATACATATATAGATCAAAAACAACAATGGTTACCTGTCTTAATCGCAGAAGCTGCAAAATCTTCTTGGTCTTTGGGTGCATTGCATTGATCCTGAATTTTGAAATCATAAAAACCGTCAGCATCACAACACAGTCATTAATTTATAAACTTAACCGATACTAAAAAATGGCTTACCCACGGATTCTAATAATGAACAACAGTTTTGCCTCAGGGTTAACATAGAAGCCTCCCTTCAATCTCGCGTCACGCTTTAACTGAACCAACTCCTTTTCCTAGAAAACAGAAACAGAAATACCCTTCACATAATTAGAGACTCAAGTCAGTCATCCCATTTTCTGAAACCCAAGAGTAATGGATTATCGAATACCTGCTCCTCATACTCTTTTGTGTACTGCTTAGCTCGGTTGTAGATCAACTTCCGGTTTTCAGCATTCTTTTTCTTTGCAGCTTCGAGCTCTTGCTTCTTTGCAAGAGCCCATTGCTCATTCCTCATCTGCTTCTTCAAGACCGATTCCGGAACCACTGCTTTCACATCTTCCCCCATCTCTCTATAAAAACAGAAGGTAAAACACAAGCATACTTTATTGTTCCATTGAAGAAGTGTAATAGTACAGCTTGTCACAACTGCAAAGTGACAACTAGAAAAGAAAATGGCAATGATAGCCCCTTCTGACCTAATAACAGCTAGAACCTTAAAGGAGGCATTTATTTCTATACCATCTGACTCCAATTAATTTGCAGAAAACTATCTATTTGGCCAGAATATTTTCAAACAAAACATTTCCATAAATGGCAAATTGAATTTAGATGCACATTTTATCATGAAGGTCGGCGTTGATACACTGATCCTCTTTGTGAACCATATACACAACAGAATACACATATATCCATTTAAAATAAAAATAATACTCAAAAGAGAGGTTTTTCATTTTCTGAATCTACTTAAAAACCCAGTTCGGGTAATCGAGAAAAAAAAAAGTTTCTGTCTCCCATGGCTCTTCGGTAAGCAAAGCTATCCAATTAATCAGTAACCCAAATAAACGAATAATCTAGAACTCAGGTTCGCACCTTTTCCTTCAATTTCTCAGCAGCTAAACAACCCACCAAACAAAAATATCTAAAAGAATCTTCTTCGTTTAAAAAAAAAAAATTCAAAGTTCATAACGAAATCAATATCCAAAAACAGCACACATACAGAAAAACTTATGCATAAATCTCCACAACAATCTAAGAATTATCAATTTATAAATGCGTGTATTCATAAAATATAAGTAATTGAAGAGAATACAACAGCCAAATTCAGATGGATTCACCTTTCAGCCTGCTACACTGAATCGGGAGATTGGTTCTTTCGGTCGAGGACTAAGGCGCAACGAATATTATATCTTAAGCCGACTTCTACTAGGGTTTTGTAGGGTTTGCCTTCGATGATGGCAAATAACACTTTGTGCCTTTGAGTTTTTAGAAATTATAAAATTTCCACAAACAACCCTTTTAATATAAAATTATAATTTCGTCTCTATCACTACTTCTTCCATTTTTTTTTTCTTGCATTTTCAAAAAAGAAAAATTTATTTTAGAGGGACAATCACTTAGATTTGAAAGTTTATTATTTTTATTTAGGGTGTCAATTAATTAAATTAACTTAATGCTTTTCATGGAGGTTATTTTTTCCTAATATTGAACTCTTGTAACTATATGTTACCTTACTCACTTAAGTTTTTTGGACAACTTAGTCAGCTCCATTTTCTCTTTTTGATGCGGAGCACACTTGACATTGTGTCACTTGATGTATCCTCGAAGAAAAAACCTCTTTTGATTTTGCGTTGCTTCAATTGTATCGCGCAAGAGCGCTCAAAGCACCCTATCTTATTTAATAAAAATGCTCAAAAACTATGAAAAAAGTCGAGCAGCTTTAGTTGAGCTATAAAATTAGTGTGGTGAGATATTAAAAGTGTTCAACAATTTTAAAGGAAAATACTAAAAAATAAAGTGTCTTGCTAAATTGGCAGAATTTTAGCAAAATGAGGTAGGCAACCACTGAAATATTATAGAACGATTTAAAGAGTATCATAACTTATTTAACTTGCAATCAATTAGGTCATACGATCTTTGCTTGTGACATTTGATGATGCACAATTTGATTTGCACATTACTTGTCAAGTAAGTAGTACTAAATGCAGTAAATAAATAGAGGTAGAGATAAAGACAAAAGAAAAACAAGGTTTATAGTTGTTCGATCGATATGACTTACGTTCACTTTAAATGGCAAGGGTCGCCGAGTATTTTATTAATTCAAGTGTGTAAGAAGAGCTAAGAGTTACAAGCTTAGAGAAGGATAGGAGAGTTGTGCTCGACAAAGTGTGATGATGCCCCCAAGTATTTGTGGGACTTACAATTTGTAATCGCCTCATAACACATGGTAATTGAATAACTAGTCTGACGGTCATAACGGATTGAAGTAATTTAATAGTACTTAAATAGTTAATCCGACGAAGGCAGAGGTGACGACCTCTTCTCAACGGGCGAGAGACTTACAATACTCTCCATAGGACTAAGTCAAAAGATGAGATGAGAGTTAACTCTCTTCAAGACGACGAGGATGGGGCTTTTGGATGACCCTTACTCCAAGGTGGCTAAGAAGAAACTCTTGGATGACCCTTACTCCAAAGTGGTTAGGAAGAAACTCTTGGATGATCCTTGCATGCTCCCCTGCTGATATAGCTCCTTCAACTTGATGAGCTTGATCGAGCGTGCACCACTTTGGACGCTGAATCTCTAAGAGTTGGACTCTTAATTTAAACTGAGCTCGTATCATGAGTTGGACCCTTGGGCTTAGCCCATCAACATCTCTAATTATTCGATTACCATCTTTCATTTAATGAATCACACGTTTTTCAAAGCAATACAATTCATGACTTCAAGTTCAAAGATTCATGCTATGTCGAACGAATAAGATATGTGAAAGATGGGAGGGCTTCTCTTCTTGTTCCTTTTTATCTATACAATTTAAAGCGATGGACATTAATTATTTATAATGGATATTCGACGTCAACAGTCTATTTTCAATAGACTCTCTATTAGTAAAAATTGAAATAGATAATTTAATTTGACTCGTCCATAATTTGACATCAAAATCAATCTCTATTTAATCGTTATTGAATAAAAAAAATAACAATTAAAAGCTATTCTCGAGAGTTTGTTTGTTTAGCGGGAGAATGGTAGAAAATGTAAGAAAGAGAAATTTTTTAAAATTTTTATGTGTTTGATTAGCATGAAAAGAAAAATTATAGAAAAATTAATTTTCTTTCATGCTTGAATTTTTTCATAAATAACTAATTTTTTTTCTTGTAAAAAACACAAAAAAATGCAAGAAAGTTGTGATGTATAACTAACTTCTCATTTTACCCAAAGGCCTTTGTAATGGTGATTGTCCTAGAATTAGGTTTCAAGCTACTTTTTTTAAAAAATTAACTTTTAATTATAATTACGTATTTTTTTTCCTTTTAGACTAATTTAATATAATTAAGAGTAATTTAGACAATTATAAAAAAAAATTTAGAACTTTCCTTTCTTTCAAACATTAAAATGAAATTTTTTTAAAGTTTTCACGTAAAATTTTCATTTTAATCAAATATATGTATTAAAATACATTTTCTATCATTTTTTTTTTTTTCACTTCACTTTCCATTATTTTTTTCTTCTTAATCAAACAGACCAATTAGAAAGAGAGTTTTATTGGAGTTGTATACAATATTTAACTGTATATTTTGAAACTTCGATCTTAAAAGATTTAGATGGCGGTCAAATAAGGAGAACAGATCAACAAAGTAAACATAAGCTAGAACGTTCTGATGAAAAAAAAAACATAAATAAGAATTAAATTTTTGTTTTGAAAAGATTTATACAATCGAAACAATCAACAAATTTTCGTTTTCAAGAAAATATAGACAAACAAATGATGGAATCAAAACTCTCGTAATTATTAATGTTTCGAAGTATTTCTTAATATTTCAACACAATTTCCACAGTTGTTTTAAGATATTTCAAATCCTTAATATATTTTGAATAATATTTTTAAAAATAATTTTTAAACTTTTTAGTCCTTTCTATTCTATTTTCAAAACAAATAAAAATATCGAATAGATGACCAAAATAATGCACTAAAAAATTTTTAGTCCTTTAAACTAATTATGTTTCGTGTACAAGTTGAAGAGTAACAATTCAAAATTGTCACGAAAGAAACTATCAATCGAACCATTCGAGATTTCAAAAACATCCAAAATCATTTTTTAAATAACAATGTCTTTTATGCTTTAGGATACTCTGCTTCGTCAAAAACTCAAACAAAGAACAGATGCTTGATTGCCTCAAAAAAAAGTACAGTATCAATAACTAACTACACATTGAAAAAAGCCAAGTTGGATAGGAGCCTAGTTCATCCTCCTGATGAGCTCGTTAATGTAATCTTCACGGTTTCCGGCATCGCCTCCTTCAACATAGTGATTCCTCTTCTTTTTCAGACCACCCAGTGGTGCCTTCAATTGGAATGGCCACAAGAAGTTGTTCGCCTCCTTAAAGTGGGGTCCGACAGTCATAATCTCATGTACCAGATCTTCCACGCAAATAATCCCAAACTGACCCAGGGCCTGTAATGATACAATTAATTGTTGAGGAAACAGTAAGATGAAAAAACGACAGAGCCTGTAATGATAAGAGTAAATTGTTGAGGATACAGAGTCAGATGAAAAACTGACACCACTAACACCGAAGATGAACTCAAATTTGCTCGCAACATACCATTTCAACAATAGAGTTGTCAGTCAATGCAGTTCTCTGCTTGTTTAGTTTCCCATAACCCCTCTTGTAAATCAATTCTCGGACACTTTTCAGGTTGGGATACCTGAAAAGATTAAATAAGTAAACAGGTGGCATAGATTATGAACACTCAAATGTCTCAAAATTATGAATCATACCCAAATGTCACATAAGGCTCAACCCTATGCAGCATGTTCATTGTTGCCTTGTTTACTTTCAAAAACACACCATTAAAGATCTGCAAACCAAAAACAAATGTATCGGCTCAACAGTCAGAAGGTTTGAACATAGAAACACCGTAAAGACAAAGATTGGGTACCCAGCAACAAAGACAAATCTCACACAAGTTGACAGTGGAAGTTGCAATCCCACTGTACAATCTTAGAGGGAAAGCTTCACAGAAGGAAGCATGAGAAATATAGAAAACCCCCATCAGGAAAAAGTAAAAATCAAACACCCCCCAGGGCAAGGTATCTACTGAACAACCAGAATAGAGTTACAATGCAATGTAAACCATTTGTCAATTCAGCTTTAGATACACTCAAGTCTCTTGACTAAAATACCAATAAGTAACTATCAAGAAAGAAATAATCTTTCACCCCTTTCTCTTCGGAAAGGAAAATTGGGATGAAAGAAAACATATATAATTGCAATAGAAAAAATAGATCTTTTTAATTCTCTCTTTCGTTCATACATATTTATGCTTTACTATATGCTATTACCAAGCAAGCTCTAACAATTCTGCTTTTCGTGAGAAACTACACTCTAGGAAAAAGAAACATTGATGACCTCTCCAATTGTCTCCGACTTCTTAGGCAAACCACGGGTAACAAGATGTGGCATATCTAGAGTATTCCTGGATATGCGAAGTATCAAAGGCTTTCCTGACATACAACATAATTGGCAGGGAAACAACGAAAAAACACTCCTCCAGGAACCAGGAAAAATCTATTACATCCTTAAATATTAAGGTATTTGCTGAACAACCTGATGCAGCTCTACCCTAGAAAAAAAATTTATCCATAAAAATTCTTAAGAATCCCTAATGGGACCATCACTTGCCTCTTTAAGATATCGAAAGGATAAACAATTTCTACATTTCACAAATCACAAATCACCAAAATCCAGTGCATGGGAGCAAATAGAGTGGAGGGGGCACTAAATAAATATGTTTGAGAGGGTGTGAGTATAGAGATTCTAACACTAACCCAATTTTATAAAAGATAATGAATTTGCTAGTCCTAACGAGAGAGGAGTACTGCAGCAGCAACAGAATTCACAAATATAGCTCAATATTTCCATGGACATTTTTTTCAGCAATGTTTTTGACTTTTCCAACTGGTACAACAGTACAAGTAAATAGTCTTTATTTGCTGCTTCAGCCTAATAACAAACAAAGTTCTCATCCATGAAATTGTTCACACCAAACTATTTTTGAAAACCAACTCTTCTGAATAAACATATCTGACAAGTGACAACTAACTCTTTGTCTGAAATCAAAATTTTTCATCAGCCACAGGATAGTTCAGTCAAGGACAGAGAAGTGTGGACCTCATATAGTAAGAGTGCATTAACAAGTATCACGCTAAGGTTAGCATGTCACAATAGGTACAGCTTTGAGCCCACCAAGAACAAAATAAATGGATACAACATGTCGAATGTGTATCCCATTGTTTTGCATACATATATAGATCAAAAAACTATTGTTACCTGTCTTAATCGCAGAAGCTGCAAAATCTTCTTGGTCTTTGGGTGCATTGCATTGATCCTGAATTTTGAAAACATTAAAACATCCGCATCACATTAATTTATAATCTCAACCGATATTAAGAAATGGCTTACCCGCGGATTCTAATAATGAACAAGAGTTTTGCCTCAGGGTTAACATAGAAGCCTCCCTTCAATCTCGCCTCGCGCTTTAACTGAATCAACTCCTTTTCCTAGAAAACAGAAACAGAAAAACCATTCACATAATTATAGACTCAAATCAGTCATCTCATTTTCTGAACCCCAAGAGTAATGGATTATCGAATACCTGCTCCTCATACTCTTTTGAGTACTGCTTAGCTCGGTTGTAGATCAACTTCCGGTTTTCAGCATTCTTTTTCTTTGCAGCTTCGAGCTCTTGCTTCTTTGCAAGAGCCCATTGCTCTTTCCTCACCTGCTTCTTCAAGAGCGATTCCGGAACCACTGCTTTCACTTCTTCACCCATATCTCTGTAAAAGCAGAAGTAAAACACAACACGACTTTATCGTTCCATTGAACAAGTGTATTGGTACAGCTTGTCAAAACTGCAAAGTGGCAACTAGAAAAGAAAATAGCAATGACAACTACTTCAACTTCAGTAACAACTAGAACCTTAAAGGCTCTGTTTTTTCAACCAGAGTTTGCACAGAATTGCTCCAAAGTTACTAGGCATTTATTTCAATACAATATGACCCCAAATAATTTCCAGAAAACTATCTATCTGGCCAGATATTTTCAGCTAAAACATTTCCCGTAAATGGCTTATTGAATTTAGATGCACATTTTACCATGAAGGTCTGTGTTGATACACCGATCCTTTTGTGAACCACATAACAGAATACAGATTTATTCATAGAAAATAAAAATAACACTCAAAACCCAGATTTTTTCATTTTCTGAATCTGCTTAAAGACCCAGTTCAGTAATCGAGAAACACCCACC